CACCTTATTAACCCATAAAGCAAACCAGATTACAGCCACAGAAGCTTTACTTATAGGATTCAGTTTTAGACAAGAGCCTGCAAATGAGAGAAATATAGCCACAACCACATGCCACCCAAACCAGGGTAAGGTAGACTACATGGTGACACTTAACGAGGTTTCTATATCAGCACACAAAAATTAGGTTACTCAAGAACTGTTACTCCTTTTTCCCCCTTTTTCTCTAAATGCACTTGGGCCCCATGGTGTACACCAAAATCTGTCTTGGTTTGAAAAGACAGGTGTCTGCTAAGGAAGGCAGGAGCCTTTCTTAGATGGAAAATGTAAACACCCTCCCTCCAAATTATTATGATTTTGAATGTAAGGGGTTCTCAGGCAAAGATGTGGGAATAAAAAGAACAGTTCTTTACTAGGAAAATTAAAAATATAACTGTAATAGTACAAAAAAAACACAAACCACTGACAGAGTCAGAATATGACCTGACACCCTTTTTGTCAGGGTGTTGGTAGCAGTCTGATTAAAAGGTGGCTGCAGTCCTCCTGGAGCGACAGATACGGTCCACTTGAAGCAGTGATCCTGTAGAAGAGTGCAGTTTTCCCCTGAAGGTCTGGTGATACTGTTGATGGGCCTGGTCTTCCTCTGGGAATCCAATGGGAAAAGGCTATTCTACTCTGGTGTTCCAAATTTCAGATTGCATTTAGGTAGGAATGTTTGGCTCCTCTCCCTGGGTGGAGCATCTCACAATGGAATGATGCAATTTTATCAGTCAGGCTCAATGGGCCATTAACAGAAGATATTTCCCTGGAGGGAGGATGGGTTGTGGAAGAGATAAAGTAAACTGCCCAATTAACAGAAGATAACTGCTCCACCTCAGACAGATGGGAAATGGAAGACAAACATCTTACAACCCAGGATAGTCCCATATTCCCTGTCCCATTCCCAGTCCCTGTCCCCATTATTGATCTAATTCCTAGTCCCTATCTGTTTTTTTCTTGTTTTCAAGTCCCATTCCCAATCCAGGTCCCATATTCCTGATCCCTGTCCCCATTCCCAGTCCTGTAACCTCTTCCTATCTCACTCCTCCTGCTGCTCCCAGAGCCGAATAAGACACTTTCCTGCACACCTCTTGCACCCCGGCTGCCCCCAATGCCCCCCCCGGCAGTTCTGCCACTTTTGGGGACTTGGTCCTCTTTGTCTGAATCAGAGGCTGCCCTGGAACTGGCGGCATATCTGAGTTCGGACCGTCCCGAGCCCTCTGCCCCTGTGGCAGCAGATGGGACTGAGGCTCCAGGGGCCAGCCTGTCCCTCCGTGGGGGAGGCGTGGCTCAGCAGCTGATTGCGGGCACAGCCCGGCTGCCTGCTCTCAAACTCACCATTTTTGGCGGGCCGGTGGGTGTTTGGTCGGTGGTTCCCCCTTGGGGGTTGGGGTGCCTACCATCCCTGGCTCACCCCAGCAGCGTGGGGGAGCTGGCTCCCGAAAGTTCTGCCTCTGGTCCCCAGCCCAGAGGGGTTTGGCGTGGTGCCGTGGGGCAGGAGGATGGAACACCTTTTGCATTTGCATTGCAGAGGCAGGGGAAACAGTGGAAAGCGATCATCGCTCGCTTGCTGTGGGGAAAAAACATCCCCAGATCCGAGATGAAGATTCTCGGGACAGCTTCTATTCCCCCACTGCCAGTATGGGTCGGTGGTTCGGGGGGAAGGAAGCATTTGGTCACTCATTCTGCCATTGCATTGGCAGCAGGGTGCCGGGTTGTGAGAACACAGAGCCCGCCTTGAAGGCCAGGCCTGGGCTGTTTGGCTCGGTAACCTGGGCCAGGGCCACCGCCCAGCCAGATGTTGGGTTTGGGGGCTCTGCTTCCCCCGTCAGGACCCTGGCCATCGTTCTTTGGGCCAGGTCTGGAGTTCCTGATCCTTCCAAGAGGGCCAGGGTTCCCCAAGGCCTCTCAGGCCTCTCTGCTGCTGCTGCTTTTCCGCAAAAAATAACCAGCAAAGAGTTGAAAGAGCTAGTAGCAGCTCAAAAGCATTGAAGAGCCAAAAACTTAGCCTCAGCCCAAGTGGTTCAATAAAGGGCTGTGGCCAAGACATTCCAGATATTTTCTAAAAATTGTCTGAAATTGTTTGATGACTGTCAATGGATTTTTGATAACGATGGATGGATTTTTTTTTTAGCAATTTGTTATTTCAGGATTCTGCAAGCCTGTTTCAGAACCAAAAAGGGACTTTCAGAGATGTCAAAGAGGACCATCTTCATTCCATGGACTTTTCCTGAAACTCAGTTGTTTCCCACTTGGACTTTCTTTGCATTGTTTTTGCATTTTTTTATATTGTAAGATTGTTTTAGGGTTAGATAATTACAAAGTCTTGGCTTGCCATAGTTAGTAATCTCCGTCTGGCTCTAATTATAATTTGAGCTGTCATCTCTATAATTGTAAAAACTGGTTTTGGAGACCTGAAAGGAAGAAAAACTCACTTTATTATTAACAAAAGATTTTTCTTAAAAGCGTCTCACCAAAGTATGAGACTATAAAGTTTCATGTTTTCTCTTAATAGTGTGAGGGGAAAGGGTTTTTCAGTAGTACAACAATGTGTTTGTCTTTTTTAAGAGCGTTAGTGAGCTTTTAAAGGGTTTTTTGAGCTTCAGATGTCAAAGTTCTTGAAGATTTGATGTTATAGTCTCTTCCTAATAGGTTAAAAAGTGTAGTAAGCTCATAATTTGTAATTCTTAAAACAGATCTGACCTAATTGATCTCTCCTAAAAGCCGTTGTGAATCCTGTATGGTGTTGACATTGGTTCTAAGTTGCATTTTTTTGTGGTTTGATTGTTTGTTCTGTTATCTTCTTTCTCAAATATTTCTAGGGTGAGATTTCTTGTATTTTTGATGTTGAAATTTTTAGTCTAGCATTTCAAACTTCAGTGATAACACTGTCTTGAGTCTGTTCTATTTATTTTTGAGTTGGTGCTACAATGAGTAAGTCATTCATGTAGTGTTAAATTCTTGATCATGGGTGTTTTTGTTGGGCTGGAGACAAAGCTCTCATTGTGAAATACTAATAAATAGTAAGTGAGTTTTTCGTACATGGTTGCAAAACTGTCTAATGATACTTATGTATTGGTTTTTCTCTATTGATGGTTGGAACTGAAAAGGTAAATCAAGGAGCATCTTCTGGATGCAGTGGAATGTTAAAAAAAAAAATCTTTTAAGTTGATGACAACAAGAGGCCAGTCTCTTGGAATCATTGAAAGAGAATAAAGTCTAGGTTACAATTGTCTTATGTGTTCTATGATTTCGTTGACCTTCTTTAGGTCATGGAGCAATCTTTAGGAATCAGAAATTTTCTTATGAATGATAAAAACTACGGAATTCTAGGAACTGTTTGTAGGCTTGATGTGGCATTTTTGTAGTTGTTCACTTACTAATTTTTTTAGGGCATTCAATTTTTTGTTTTTCTGTTCAAGAGGCCATTGATCAATCCAAATGGGCTGATTGTTTTTTTCTATGATAACTTCAGTGTGGTAGGCATTGTTGTGGTTTCTATCAAAACCCTATTTCTATCTTCACTCCCCCTGGGACAACACATCTCTCCCCCATTCTGTGGTGGGCTTCTGCACCATGAAGGAATGGATGGATGGTTGCTGTCTTTCTTTTGGTAACCGTAATTATGAATTGATTTTATAGACATAAGGCAGCTTATCTAATTCTTGTGAGAGTATGCATGGGTGTCCCCAAATTCCAATTGCTCGGCTAAAATGCATAAGAAATCACAGTGACGTCTGCCGCTGCATCTTGCACACCAGTAATACAAACTGTTCTACAAAGGTGTGTTAGACTGCACATCAGCTCTGGCTGTTCATTGTCAACATGTTTCATTCAAAGGACATTAGGCACTGGGCTAAAACTCTCAAAAGGCATTTCTCAGCATACAATTGGTTCACTTATATTCACTGGTAATGCAATATCAATAGCTATTGTTGGTATTGCTTGAATTACCATTGGAGCATTGTAAGCAAGAGTTCTTCATTACAATTTGCTGAAATGATAGCTAGTAAAACTGAAAGTCAAAGAATTCTATCTCTGTCCTTGCCTATAATTAAAAAGTCTTGTCTTTGTTGTGAAGTACTAGTAACTACTTTGAGAATGCATTCATGGCAAAAGTCTTTTAAAAAATATATTAATTTGAAAGTTGCCAGCTCACATCGTGCCCCTGGGGTAATAGGTTGTGATCTCTTGGGAGATGGTGGGAAATGCCTTCCTTTCCTCAGACCAGCCCGAGGCAAAGCCTCAGCCTGGTCTTCAGGTCTGTCATTTGAAGCATTGTATGTGAGGCTTCTGTCAGGCTTTGAGAATTCTCTACAAATACATTTCCCACACCCTGTCACCCCCGTACCGTGGGCGCAGGCGGGACTGCGCGGAGGCGTTTCTGTTGTGGCCCGACCATGCTTCCCCTCCCCGCCCTGCTCCCCCCTTCCCTTGGAGACACCCCTGACCCTCCCCTTTGTAACCCTGGGGTGTAACCCAGTGCTGTAATCCCTCGGCGAGGGGGGCTTGGTGACATCACAGGACTCTCTCTGTGCCATCCCCGAGGTGGCACATGTGCTTTTTGTCACCGCCACCCAACTATTTGATCCTTTCCAGCGCCCCAAAGTGGGGGGGCCCACATCCTACAGCACGGGGTTGACAACATTTTTGGGGTCCCAGCTGGCTACTTCCACCCTTTCCAGCATCACCCTAAGGATGTTGTGTGACCCTGCAACCCCCGCACTGCCCCGGCCACAGCATCCCCCAAAGGGACCATGCGGACCTGGGGACTGTCCACGTGTCCCACCGCCTGTCCCCGTGGGACCTCTGCTGCTGCGCCCTTGCTCAGCCCCGGTTCCTGTTGCAGCTTCTCCATGTGACTAGGCAGGAGTTTCAGTCACACCCTCACCTCCTCCTCCTCTGGGTTTGATGCCACTTCTCCCGCTAGGGACGCAGCTGTGACACCAGGGGGACACTGCGGGTCACCCCTCGGAGGGACTGCAAGGTCGTAGTGACTGCTGAAGTGGCCCCAGTGTGACAGCTGGGGGGCCCAGGAGGCTGTTATGACAGTTTGGGGGGTGGGTGCTCATTTTGGGGTCTCCAGGGTGGGTTGTGAAGTCCCCTCCCATCACCGCATAGTCACCCCCCAATCCATGCCTCAGTTTCCTCCTTGCTCTGCAGGCACCACCTGCAGCGGCGTTCCGCAATTGGGTTTATTTTTGGGGGTTTTGGGGTTGGTGCTACTGGGATGGGCTGGTAAGGCAGTGGTGTGGGCCAGAGTGTGGCCAGGCTGGTGGCCATCTGGGCTGGGAGCTGCCCAGGCTGTGAGGCTGCAGGACCAGGAGCTATCCAGACCAGAATCCAGCTGGGATCCATGGCTCTGGTGTCCATCTGGACCAATGTCCAACCTCTCCTGCCGCCATCCATCCCAGGTGTCCCAGACTGCAAGGCAAGATGTATTCTATTACCATCTGTATGGCAGTTGTCTTTTGTCAAGTGGGCAGTTTCCTTATCTCTCTCTCTCTGAATGATCACAATCACCCCTCCAAGGGGACATCTGCTGATAAGAGGCCATTGAATGTCACTGCATGACTGATAAGAACTGTAGCATCCCCTTGTGAGATGCTCCGCCCAGAGGGAGGAGCCAAGCATTGCTACACAGATATAATCTGGACATCCTGGAATAACTGCACGACTTCTCCACTGGATTTCCCAGAAGAACAGCAGCTGCCTCTTCTTCCACCGGATCTTCATAGGAAGACTACACCTTTACTACAGGATCCCTGCTGCAGCAGAACCACACCTGACACTGCAGGAGGACTGAGCCACATTTCCAATTGGACTGCTACCAACACCCTGACCCACAGGGTGTCAGGTCGAGTTCTGACTCGGTCAGTGTTGTTCTAGTGCACTGCATTGTTTATTTTATTGTTTATTTTCTTCCCTGTTAAAGAACTGTTATTTCCTACTCCCATGCTTTTTGCCTGAGAGTCCCTTAATTTAAAATTTATAGCAATTCTGAGGGGTGGGGAGGGTTTACATTTTCCATTTCAGGGGGCCTCCTGCCTTCCATAGCAGATTCCTGTCTTTCAAAACCAAGACACCAGACTCTCTGGCTTGCGCCACTGCTCACTGCAGAGTGGACAAGACCCACGGTCAGTCACAAGATGACCCCAAACCCCCTCCCAGCAACCCCACCAGGCCACCCACCCTGAGCTCCAGTGCCACTGGAGTCCCCTGGAAGCTGGGCCAGCTTTGGATCTGCTGCAAGAGGAGATGCACAGTCCCCGGCAAGGGACTCAAGGGTGTCCAGGATGGTGATGAGCTGTGGGGAGACATCTGGGACCACATCCAGGGACATGCCTAGAGGGAGAGGGAATAGGGGTTGAGAGGGATTAAGGAGCGGGGAGGGGGCTGGAGGGGGAGATGCACAAAAAATGTGCCAAAGTCAAGGAGGATGCCCAAAATTGGGAGAAAATGAAAGAAAGAAGAGAAACTATCCAGACCTGGGGGTAAAGGATGCAAAATACTGGGGAACAGACACAAAAAAGGGGTAAAGTACCCACAACAGGGTGAATGGACCCAAAATGGAGGTGGGAGGACCCAAAATCAGAGGACAAAGGGTGCTTGTCGTGGGATGTCACAGGGTGTCACACGTGTCGTGGCATGGCCCTACCTGTGCCAGGATGGGCACAGATGCTCAGTGCCAAGAGCAGCCATGGGAACATCCTGAGGGACACGGTGACACCTTGAGGGCCACGGGGCCTGCAGGACACAGGGACACCCTGAAAGACGCAGCCCCGGGACCTCAGAGAATTTGGACCTGCTGGTTGGCAGGGGACAGAGACATAGGAGCAGGGAGGGCGACACATGGAAGGGGACAGGGACACATAGGGGAGATGGGGACAGGGACTCACATGGGAGACAGGGAGACATGGGGCAGGACAGGGACGCACAGAGGGGTCACAGGGAGACACAGCAGGGGATAGGGACATATGAAGGGGAGGGGACACGATGCCACCAGGACATTCATCGGGGCACAATGGTACCACACCTGTGGGGACGCTGCCACCAGGACGCCTCCGGTGACACCAAGCATGGGGCCACAGGACCCCGTGGGTGACACTGACCCTTGCCTTTTCTCCAGCCTGTCTCAAGGAGTGCTTGTGGTCCCCAGAGCACAATGGCCTTGGGACACCCTGGGAGCTGTCACTCACCTCTGGGCCACTTGTCAGCAGCTGAACAAGTTCCCATCCTGCCCTGGTAGAGGGGGGACATTCAGCTGGGACACCTCAGTGGTGACAGTGGAGATAGGGTGGCAGGAACTGCATTGGACAGCGCTTGGCCATGGCTGAGATGACAGTACTGGTGGCACTGTGGTGGCACAGGTGGTGGCATTGATGATGTCCCAGTTGGTGTCCCCATCCGTGTTCCCCACATCCCCATCCATGGCCATTTCCCCCCATGTCCCCATCCATGTCATTGTCCCCCACAGGTCCCCATCTATGCCTTGGTTCAACACCTTTATTTCTACCCCAGTTTCTGGGCTTTCAAAGGGAAACATTTTCGTTTCACGATCAAAACAAAAGGATTTATGTGTCCTGCAAACAAAGTATGCACATGCTTGGGTTGGTGGGAAGAAACTTTATTGGATGGGCTTCTACCCCATCGTCTCCAAAATCATGGGGTTTGCCCCAGTCTGTCCCCCTTTGGCTGTGGAAGATGCCCGTGGGCCAGACAGAATTAAAAGGATGGATTTATGTGGGAAACGACCTGCAAGGTCATCAAGTGTTGCTTGATGACAGCAGAAAATGCAAAAAAGTGAGATTTTTCTGAGGTCAGAGGTCAACAAATCTGCTCTCCATAATGGATTTCTGATGTTGGTCTGAGGATGTGTGCAGGTGCCCATGGGGAGCCAGGAGGATGCGGAGCCCCCCAGCCAGGTGTCTTCCCAACATGGATCACCGGCACCATGGGTCACCAGGGCTCTGCCCACCGGCGCTCACTGGGGATCATCCAGTGTGGATCCCATGGGGGATGGAGCTGGAGGAGCACAGGAAACTCTCCCTGCATGCGGGGCACTCGCAGGGCTTCTTTAGTGCTGGCTCTGCTGGTGTCTGCTCAAGATAGAGCTCTGTGAGAAGCTCTTCCCACACTCTGGACACTCATAGGGCCTCTCCCCAGTGTGGATGCGCCGGTGGGTCACGAGGGTGGAGTTGTCCCTGAAGCCCTTCCCGCAGTCAGGGCAGCGAAAGGGCCGCTCGTCCGTGTGAATGCGCTGGTGCCTGACAAGATGAGAGCTGCTCTGAAACCTCTTCCCACATTGATCACATTCATAGGGCTTCTCCCCTGTGTGGCTCCTCAGGTGGTAGATCAGGTGGGAGCGCTGGCAGAAGCTCTTCCCACACTGCCCACACTCATAGGGCCTCTCGCCAGTGTGGATCCTCTTGTGGATAATCAGGTTCGACTTCTGGGTGAATCTCTTCCCACACTCAGGACACTCATAGGGCCTCTCCCGGGTGTGCATGCGCTGGTGGCTGACAAGGGAGGAGTTGTGCTTGAAGCCTTTCCCACAGTCAGGGCAGAGGAAGGGTCTCTCCTCTTTGTGAGTGCGCTGGTGCCTGAGGAGATCAGAGCTAGTCTGAAACCCCTTTCTGCATTTATCACACTGGTAGGGCCTCTCCCTGGTGTGCCTCCTCATGTGGACAATCAGGTGGCATGTCCGGCTGAAGCTCTTCTCACACTCCCCACACTTGTAAGGCCTCTCCTTCATGTGGCTCCTCAGGTGGACAGTCAAGTTGAATCTCTGGCTGAAGCTCTTCCCACACTCCTCACATATATAGGGCCTCTCCCCCGTGTGGATTCTCATGTGGCACAGCAGGTGGGATCTCTGGCTAAAGCTCTTCCCACATTGCAAGCACTTGTGGGGTTTCTCCTTACGCTGAAGCTGCTCATGGACCCCCAGCTCCGAGCTCCGGACACCTCCCTGGCCCAGGGTGGGTCTTTCCTCCTCAGATCCCTGTGATCTGCGTTCGCAGCCCCTCCTCGTGAGGGATCTCCGAGGCTTTTCCTCCCCATTGGATTCCTGCACTGTGGAGCCACTCAAAAGAGCCTCTTCCACGAGGTTCTGCTGTGTTGACTCATCCCCCCTGCTCTCCATCCTCAGCACCTGGTCTTGGGGAGGAAGGACAGGGAGAGGATGGGATTTGCCCCTGTGCCACAGGGCAGGGCAAGGAGATCCCCCCAGTGAGTCCCCAGCAGGACAGCTTTGGCAGCAGGGTTGTCCTGCAGCCGGGGGCCGTGCTGGGCTGGGAGATGGAGCAGGAGAAAGAGGGAAAGGGGTAGTGACTTCCTCCTCACCTGCCTGGGGCTCCTGGGCCATCTTCATCTTCCTCACGGCCTCCTTCTCCTGCATCGGGCCAAGGTTTGGAAATGGGAAGTCCTGGTTTGGGGAAAACAAGGGCTGAGCGCGTTGGGTTTGATGGTCCCGCTGCCTCTCTTGGCTTGAAAAGACAGGTGTCTGCTAAGGAAGGCAGAGCCTTCCTTAAAATTGAAAATGTAAACCCCCTCCCTCCAAATTACTATAATTTTGAAATTAAGGGGCACTCAGGGAAAGATATGGAAATAGGAATAACAGATCTTTGCTAGGAAAAATAAAATAAAAATGCAGTAGTACAAAAAAAACCACTGACAGAGTCAGAATCCAACCTGACACCCTGTTAGTCAGGGTGTTTGTTGCACTCCAATTAAATGGTGGCTGCCGTCCTCCTGGTGTGAGAGATGTGGTTCTGTTGAAGCAGTGATCCTGCAGAAGGGTGTAGTTTTCCTCCAAAGGTCCAGTGGTGGTGTAGATAGGTGTGGTCTTCCTCTGGGAATCCAGTGGAGAAGAAAAGCTGCTCCTCTGGGAATCCAGTGGGAAAAGCCTGACTGTGGTGTTCCAAATCTCTGATTATATGCAGGTAGGGATGCTTGGCTCCTCCCCCTGGGTGGGGCATCTCACAATGGGATGATGTAATTTTATCAGTCATGCAGTGAGGCTCAATGGCCCGTTAAAGGAAGATATCTCCCTGAAAAGGAGGACTGTCAATGGGGCTTAATGGCCCGTTAACAGAAGATATCTCCCTGGAGGGGTTGTGGAAGAGATAAAGAAAACTGCCCAGTTAACAGAAGATAACTGCCCCACCTCTACCAGATGGCAATAGAATACACACCCCCACCCACATCTTGCATTTCCAACCTCAGACACTCTCCATTGCTCTCAGTAGCCCAAAGTGTGATCCCAGTTGCTCCCTTTTAACAGCAGTATGATCCCAGTAACCTCCAGTACAAACCAAGTCATGTACCACCATTCCCACTATGGTCCTAGTATAATCCTAGTTGCTTCCAATCCATCCCAGTATGGTCCCAGCTGCCTCCAGCTACATCAACACAATCAGTCCCAGTATGATGTCATTTGCTCCCAGCGTGCTCCCGGTTGCTCACAGCAGCTCCCACTCACTCTCAGAATGATCCCAGCCATTCCCAGTATATCCCATTAGCTACCAACATGGTCTCAATTGGCCCGGCAGGTTCCTACTCACTTCCAAAATGATCCCTGGATGATCCCAGTACAGCCCAGTCCATCCCAAAGATGCCACTCCTGGCATCCCCCAGCCCTCTCTGTGTTCCCCCTTCCCAGATTGCCCGACAGGAACCCCAGGGGCTGGAAGGCCTCAAGCCAGGGTCCCCAACAAGCTCCAGTGTGGATCTGCAGCCCCCAGGTTTCCCAGTTTGCCTCTCCTTCTCCCCGGGCCAGGTTCTCCCAGCTCCCAGCGGGTGGGAGCAGCCGAGAGCCCCGTGCTGCCCATCCTGACCCGTCCCGGCTCCATCCCCGCTCCTGCCGCAGGCTGCGAGGGCTGCGGGACCGGGGCAGGAGGAATGGGATGGTGGAGCAGGGAGGGAGAAACAGCGGGACAAGGGCTGGAGGGAACAAGAGAAGGAGGAGGAGGCGTGGAGAAGGAGTGGGAGGAAGAGCTGGGATAGAGGACGAGGAGCGGGAAGTGGAATTGGAGGGACCATATGCTCCAGCCCTCGCTGTGTCCGCAGCCCTCCCGGCCCCTGGGGCATTTCCCCGCCATATCTCAGGTGACCGCAGAGGGGGAGCTCACCCAAATATCCTGGGTGCTCCATGGGAGGGTACTTTTTTGGGGAGGGGGAGATTTTTGGAGCTCAAAGGACTCCAAAGCGAAGCCGCAAATGCTCATTGGGGAGATTTTGGGGGTGTCCCAGGAGGTTGTTTTTCGCAGGGGAGGGCAGGAGAGGTGAGAACACTGGGACACCGAAGTGTGCAGCCCAGAGAGAGGAGACAGCCAGGATTCAGCCCGGAGAGGGGAACACCCTGGCGAGGGGGAAGCCCTGGAGCTCCCCACAGCCTGGAGCAGAGTCAGGGGAAACGGGAGCGCTGGGACCCCAAGAGCCCCACAATCGCTAAAGGGGAGCCCAGAGAGGGGGAGCCGGAGAACCCCCGGGGGCTGCGGGGAAGCCCCAGCAGCACAGAGAAGGGGGAGCCCCAGAGGCCTGTTTTCTCTTGGAAATAGGATTTCTCATTTCCAAACCTCAGCGCAGTCTGTGGACCCTGTCTCTGGGAACACCTGCTGGTGTCACCTCAATACAGTGTCCCTGCTGCCTGTTGTCACCCTCTGGTCCATGTCACCAGTGTCTCTGTGTCACCCCTGTCCTGGTGCCCACCGTGCCTGGCATCAACCCCTGGTCCATGTCCATCTTGTCTTATGTTGCTATGCAAGATGTAACAAGCAGTATGTATTTTATCACCATCTGTTGAAACCAGGTGGAGCAGTGTTCTTTATCGCTTCCATGACCCATCCTTCCTAACTCCAGGGCAGATATTCTCTATTAATGGGCAAGCTGTTAAAACCAGGTGGGGCAGTTTATTTTTATCTTTTCCACATCCCATCATCCCTCCAGGGAGATATTTTCTGTTAATGGGCCATTGAGCCCCATTGACAATCCTCCCTTTCAGGGAGATATCTTCTGTTAATGGGCCATTGAGCCTCACTGGATGACTGATAAAATTAATCAACAGTTGGTGTTCCCAGAGACAGGGCCCAGAGAGTGGGCTGAGGTTTGGAAATGAGAAAACCTATTTCCAAGAGAAAAACAAGGTATGAGAGCATTTTGATGGGCATTACACCTGCCCCAACCCATCTCTAGAAGTCACCAGACATTTTGTGTCCATAAAAATCTCCAGACCACCATGATTCTGCCCAAAAAAACCTCCAGACCACAAAAATTGAGTTGGTAAAATCCTCAGAAATACCATCACTAAGCCTTCCAAGACTTGAATGTCTCATGATTATTGCAAAAAAGAGCTCCCCATCAATAGCCCCTCTCGGGTCTCTCCACTTTGGACTTCTGGGGATTCTGCCTCTATTGAGGGCTCTCCTCTCCAGAGTCCCCACGCTCTCCAGGCTGTCCCAGGAATCCCCAAGGTCCCCCCTCTCTGCTCTTCTGACCTTGGGCTTCTGGGGCTCCCCCTTCTCTGTGCTGCTGGGGCTTCCCCGCAGCCCCCAGGGGATTCCCCGGCTCCCCCTCTCTGGGCTCCCCCTTAGCGATTCCGGGGCTCTTGGGGTCCCAGCACTCCCGTTTCCCCTGACTCTGCTCCAGGCTGTGGGGAGCTCCAGGGCTTCCCCCTCGCCAGGGTGTTCCCCTCTCCGGGCTGAATCCTGGCCGTCTCCTCTCTCTGGGCTGCACACTTTGGTGTCCCAGTGTTCTCACCTCTCCTGCCCTCCCCCACAAAAAAAACAACCTCCTGGGACACCCCCAAAATCTCCCCAATGAGCATTTGCGGCTTCACTTTGGAGTCCTTTGAGCTCCAAAAATCTCCCCCTCCCCAAAAAAGTACCCTCCCATGGAGCACCCAGGATATTTGGGTGAGCTCCCCCTCTGCGGTCACCTGAGATATGGCGGGGAAATGCCCCAGGGGCCAGGAAGGCTGCGGACACAGCGAGGGCTGGAGCGTGTGGTCCCCGATTCCTCTTCCCGCTCCTCGTCCTCTATCCCAGCTCTTCCTCCCACTCCTTCTCCACGCCTCCTCCTCCTTCTCTTGTTCCCTCCAGCCCTTGTCCCACTGCTTCTCCCTCCCTGCTCCACCATCCCATTCCTCCTGCCCCGGTCCCGCAGCCCTCGCAGCCCGCGGCAGGAGCGGGGATGGAGCCGGGACGGGTCAGGATGGGCAGCGCGGGGCTCTCGGCTGCTCCCACCCGCTGGGAGCTGGGAGAACCTGGCCCGGGGAGAAGGAGAGGCAAACTGGGAAACCTGGGGGCTGCAGATCCACACTGGAGCTTGCTGGGGACCCTGGCTGGGGGCTGCCAGCCCTTGGGGATCCTGTCGGGCAATCTGGGAAGGGGGAACACAGAGAGGGCTGGGGGATGCCAGGAGTGGCATCTTTGGGATGGACTGGGCTGTACTGGGATCATCCAGGGATCATTTTGGAAGTGAGTAGGAACCTGCCGGGCCAATTGAGACCATGTTGGTAGCTAATGGGATATACTGGGAATGGCTGGGATCATTCTGAGAGTGAGTGGGAGCTGCTGTGAGCAACCGGGAGCACGCTGGGAGCAAATGACATCATACTGGGACTGATTGTGTTGATGTAGCTGGAGGCAGCTGGGACCATACTGGGATGGATTGGAAGCAACTAGGATTATACTAGGACCATAGTGGGAATGGTGGTACATGACTTGGTTTGTACTGGAGGTTACTGGGATCATACTGCTGTTAAAAGGGAGCAACTGGGATCACACTTTGGGCTACTGAGAGCAATGGAGAGTGTCTGAGGTTGGAAATGCAAGATGTGGGTGGGGGTGTGTATTCTATTGCCATCTGGTAGAGGTGGGGCAGTTATCTTCTGTTAACTGGGCAGTTTTCTTTATCTCTTCCACAACCCCTCCAGGGAGATATCTTCTGTTAACGGGCCATTAAGCCCCATTGACAGTCCTCCTTTTCAGGGAGATATCTTCCTTTAACGGGCCATTGAGCCTCACTGCATGACTGATAAAATTACATCATCCCATTGTGAGATGCCCCACCCAGGGGGAGGAGCCAAGCATCCCTACCTGCATATAATCAGAGATTTGGAACACCACAGTCAGGCTTTTCCCACTGGATTCCCAGAGGAGCAGCTTTTCTTCTCCACTGGATTCCCAGAGGAAGACCACACCTATCTACACCACCACTGGACCTTTGGAGGAAAACTATACCCTTCTGCAGGATCACTGCTTCAACAGAACCACATCTGTCACACCAGGAGGACGGCAGCCACCATTTAATTGGAGTGCAACAAACACCCTGACTAACAGGGTGTCAGGTTGGATTCTGACTCTGTCAGTGGTTTTTTTTTGTACTACTGCATTTTTATTTTATTTTTCCTAGCAAAGATCTGTTATTCCTATTTCCATATCTTTCCCTGAGAGCCCCTTAATTTCAAAATTATAGTAATTTGGAGGGAGGGGGTTTACATTTTCAATTTTAAGGGAGGCTCTGCCTTCCTTAGCAGACACCTGTCTTTTCAAGCCAAGAGAGGCAGCGAGACCATCAAACCCAACACGCTCAGCCCTTGTTTTCCCCCAAACCAGGATTTCCCATTCCCAAACCGTGGCCCGATGCAGGAGGAGGAGGCTATAAGGAAGACGAAGATGGCCCAGGAGCCCCAGGCAGGTGAGGAGGAAGTCACTACCCCTTTCCCCCTCTCTCCTGCTCCATCTCCCAGCCCAGCACAGTCCCCGGCTTCAGAACAACCCTGCTGCCAAAGCTGTCCTGCTGGGGACTCACTGGGGGGATCTCCTTGCCCTTCCCTGTGGAACAGAGGCAAATCCCATCCTCTCCTTGTCCTTCCTCCCCCAGACCAGGAGCTGAGCATGGAGAGCAGGGAGGCTGAGTCACCACAGCAGAACCTTGGGTATGAGGCTGTTTTGAGCAGTTCCAGAGCACAGGAATCCAACGGGGAGGAAAAGTCCCAGAGATCCCTCACAAGGAGGGGCTACAAACGTAGCCCAGGGAGGTCAGAGGAGGAAAGACCCACCCTGGGACGGGATGGCGGCCAGAGCTCTGAGCTGGGGGTCCCTGAGCAGCTTTGCGATGGGGAGAAGCCCTACAGGTGTGGGGAATGTGGGAAGTGCTTCAGCCGAAGCTCAGCCCTGATCCGCCACCAAAGGATCCACACTGGAGAAAGGCCCTATGAGTGTGGGGAGTGTAGGAAGAGCTGCAGAGACAACTTTGACCTGATCAACCACCAGAGGAGCCACACGGGGGAACGGCCGTATAAGTGTGGGGAATGTGGGAAGAGCTTTCAGAGAAGCTCCACTCTTCTGAAGCATCAGCGCACACACACAAATGAGAGGCCCTATGAGTGTCCCAAATGTGGGAAGAGGTTTCAGACAAGCTCCCATCTCCTCACACACGAGCGGGTTCATACAGATGAGAGGCCCTTCCGCTGCCCCGACTGCATGAAGGGCTTCAAATATAACCCCGACCTCATCAGGCACCGGCGCATCCACACCGGGGAGAGGCCCTACGAGTGTCCCGAGTGTGGGAAGAGATTCACCCAGAAGTCGAACCTGATTGTCCACAAGAGGACCCACACCGGCGAGAGGCCCTATGAGTGTGGGCAGTGTGGGAAGAGATTCAGCCAGAGCTCTGAACTGATGCTTCACCAGAGGATCCACACCGGGGAACGGCCTTACGAGTGTCCTGACTGTGGCAAGACCTACAGCCGGAGCGATCACCTGATGATCCACCAGAGGAGCCACACCGGGGAGCGGCCCTATGAGTGTGGGGAGTGTGGGAAGAGGTTTCAAAGCAGCTCAGATGTCCTCGTACATCAGCGGATTCACACGGATGAGAGGCCTTTCCGCTGCCCTGACTGCGGGAAGGGCTTCAAGCACAACTCCACCCTGGTCACCCACCAGCGCATCCACACGGGGGAGAGGCCCTACAAATGTCCCCAGTGTGGGAAGACCTTCAGCCAGAGGTCAGCCTTGACCCAACACGAACAGAGGCACCACTATGAAAGCCCTGTGAGTGCCCCAAGTGTGCCCCAAGTGTGCACGGCTACAGTTCCCCAAGTGTGCACGGCTACAGTTCCCCAAGTGTGCACTGCTACAGTTCCATACCCCATGGCAGTAATTGTGCTGCATGCTGCTCATTGGGCAGAGCCCCAGTGATCTGTGGTGCTGGTAATCTGTGTTGGCAAGACACCTGGCTGGAGGCTCCACCTCTTAATGGCTCCATGTGGCCTTGACTATCTTTTCATTTCTCTCTGTCTTTTCAAAACACGCCAAAACAGGATAAAAAAAACATTGAACTAAGACAAGGATGGGGACATGTGGAGATCTTCCAGGGGATGTGGGGGCTGCTACGTTTCAGGTAGTTGAGGGTTCCTGGGTGGGACTTGGGCTTTGGGCACCCAAGGCTGAGTGACCTTGGCTGCACTGGGAAACCATAGCAGAGTTTCTGGGAGAGCTGATCAAGGCTCCCCTGCCCTGGAACTGTCCCCATGACTCCCTGTCCTGGCTCCCCACGTCCCCTGTCCACAGTCCCCCTCTCCCTGCTGTCACTCCCCTTGCTTCCCACCCGTTCCCATGTCACTGCACTCCTTGTCCCGTCCTGCTCCCATCCCAGTCTGGATCCCATTCCCAGTCTCATCCCCGTCCCGGTCCAGTATTTGTCTGGTTGCCATTCCCATATTCCCAGGCCCATATTCCCTGTCCTGTTCCGTTCTCATATTCCAGGTCCCACTGCCAGTGTCACTTCCGTTCCCCTGTTTCCATTTCTATGTTCCCAGTCCCATTCCTGTATTCCTGTTTGCGATCCCGGTCTCATCTTCCTTATCTCCATCTCATATTCACTCTCCAGTTGGGGTTTCCATATTCCCTGTCCTGGTCTCATATTCCCATTCCTGCTCCCTGTCCCCATTCCCGCTCCCTGTCCCCTCTCTCAGGACGCTGCCGCCATTGTTCCGGCCCCACCAGCCCCCACATAATTGAGGAAACACCGCCCTGCTCCCGCCCACCAATCCCAGTGCGCGATCACTCCTGTATTTGCATGGCCCCGCCCTTCAGTTTGGCCCCACCCATCGCCGGCTGCAGCCGCCTCCGGGCGCTGTTTGCTCCCAGTTCCATCCCAGTGCTTCCAGTAAGAGCGGGACTGGTAGGGAAAGCGCTCCCGATTCCTTCCCGGTCCTCTCAGGATCCCACCCAGTGTTCCCAGTATCGCTCCCAGTGCCCCGTGGGCTGGGGCCACTTTGGGAACCCCCCTAGGGCAGCGCGCAGCTGCATTTGCGTGTTGGCACTGCCCGGGCTGGGCTGGGAGCGGAGGAGTGGGACGAAGAGGGAGAGAGGAGGAGGAGGAAGAGCAGGAACAGGAGGAATACGAGCAGCAGCAGAACCAAGTGTTTCCCCTGCCCGCCCACGCAGGCCGCAGCTCTCCCAGCTCCAGCAGCATCACCCCCTCCGGAACCCACAGGTGAGCGGGATGGGGGAGCTTGCCCCAAATCCATCTGGGGGTCTCTGGGAGGGTTTTTTTGCAGGGCAGGGGATGTTTGGATCTTCCAGGACCCCAAAGCAGAGCCACAATTGCCCCTGGAGGGATCTTGAGGGTCCCACCTGGCAATTGCCTGGTACTGGTGGGTACAGGGGTGATCTTGGGTTTGGGGATCCCAGGAGAGCCAAGGGGGAACTCAGAAGCTCTGAAGCGGAGAGAGCACAAAGGGGCGATCCTGGAGCTGGTGGACCTCCGGCAGCCTGGAGGGGTGGGGGAGGCTGGGCATGAGCCGGCTCCGGGCCCCCCGAGGCTGAAAGGGGCACTGAATTCTCCAGCTGCACTTGGGCAGCAGGACCATCAAACCCAACACGCTCAGCCCTTCTTTTCCCCCAAACCAGGATTTCCCATTCCCCAACCTTGGCCCAATGCAGGAGGAAGAGGCTATAAGGAAGAGGAAGATGGCCCAGGAGCCCCAGGCAGGCGAGGAGGAAGTCAGTGCCCCTTTCCCCCTCTCTCCTGCTCCATCTCCCAGCCCAGCACGGCCCCTGGCTGCAGGACAACCCTGCTGCCAAAGCTGTCCTGCTGGGGACACACTGGGGGCATCTCCTTGCCCTGCCCTGTGGCACGGAGGCAAATCCCATCCTCTCCTTGACCTTCCTCTCCCAGACCAGGAGCTGAGCATGGAGAGCAGGGAGGACAAATCCCCACAGCAGAACCTTGTGGAAGATGCTGTTTTGAGCAGCTCCACAGTGCAGGAATCCAACGGGGAGGAAAAGTGCTAGAGAAGCCGCACGAGGAGGGACTGCAAACACAGATCACATGGATCTGAGGAGGAAAGACCCACTCTGGGCTGGGGAAGCGGCCAGAGCTCGGAGCTGGGGGTTGATGAGCAGCTTCAGGATGGGGAGAAGCGCCACAAGTACTCAGAATGTGGGAAGAGCTTCTACCTGAGATCCTCCCTGATCCGCCACGTGAGAATCCACACCAGGGAACGGCCCTGGGAGTGTGGGAAGAGCTTCTTCGAGCACTCCATGCTGATTGTCCACCAGAGAATCCACACAGGGGAGAGGCCCTACGAGTGTGATAAATGCAGGAAGATATTTCAGATCAGCTCCACTCTCGTCAGGCATCAGCGGATTCACACAGATGAGAGGCCCTTTCTCTGCCCTGAACGCGGGAAGGGATTCAACCGTAATTGCACCCTCATCAAACACCGGCACATCCACACCAGGGAGAGGCCCTACGAGTGTCCTGAGTGTGGGAAGAGCTTCTCACAGAGCTCTCACTTCACCCAACACCGACGGAGCCAGCACTAAGGGCAGCCCTGCAAGTACCCCGAGGGCAGGAATAGCTTCCTGCGCTGCTCCAGCTCCATCCCTCACATGAGGATCCACCCTGGATGATCCCCAGTGACCCCCGGAGGGCAGAGCCCTGGTGATCCATGGTGCCGATGATTCGTGTTGGGAAGACACCTGCCTGCGGGTTCCACGTTCTCCTGGCTCCCCATGGGCACCTGCACACATCCACAGACCAACATCAGAAATCCCTTGTGGAGAGCAGATTGGTCAACTTCTGACTGCAGAAAAATCTCACCTTTTTCATCATCTAGTGGCATTGAGCAATACTGGATAGCCTTGCAGGTCTTCTCCAACATAAATCCATTGTTTTAGTTCTCCATGGCCCACGACTGTCTTTCACAGCCAAATGAGGACAGACTGGGGAAAAACCCCTGATTTTGGAGACAGTGGGATGGAAACCCCTCCAAAAAAGGTTCTTCCCACCCACCCAAGCACATGGATGCTCTGCTGGCAGGGACATGTAAATAATTTTGTTTTGGTCTTGAATTTCATTTCCTTTCTGTTCATCCCTTTGAAACTCCTGAAACTGTTGTAAAAATAAAGACATTGAACTAAGGCATGGATGGGGGCATGGGAGGACAATGACATGGGTTGGGATAAGGCGGGACATGGAAATAGCTGGGGACATGGACGACCCAGACATAGGTGGGGACATGGGAGGACACAGACATAGAGAGTGACATGGGGGTGATGCCCTAAGTTTTAGCTTTCATATTTTTCAGATTCTATTCTGCCTTGGTGTCTCTGAACTTTGTATTAATTGTTGGTAAGTTCTCTTCACATGGTAGTTAGACAAAACGATCCTTTTCCAGCTTTAGAATCCAAGGACAACTGTTACGGGCTCAGGCCCAAAAAAGCATAAACAGTGAGTTGAAGGGAGAAGACAAGGAGGATGGGACTTTGTTGTATTGCACTAAATAGTTTATTTAGTAGTTGTTCTGCACTGGGTAGCAGGAAATTTGTACTGAGTATGGTATGTCATGTAGATTATTCCCCCTTCCTCATCACATGGTTTCTCCTCATCCACTCCTTTCTACACACCTGGTGGTCTGCCCCATGGATACTCCTTCCCTTGCCCCTCCCCAATGGCATCCCATTGGCCACGGTCCTCCTTCCCCGCCCCCTTTCCCCTGGGGGATAAAACCCCACTGCAGGTAAAGGTTCGGCCTCTTTTGCCACCTGGGTGGTTGCTGCGGCCAGCAATGTCCCATCACAAGCCAATAAACAGGATACTCATCCCCACGTGCTGGAAGAGCGCTCTTTGTCTTTTGTCTTCAGTCCATGCAGGTCCGTGTGGGCTTGGGTTCCAGCTAGCCGGATTGGACCCATACAAAGCCCAGTGAACGATTATTGCAGATAGGGACATGAACTGGGACATCATCAATGCCACCACCTGTGCCACCACCTGTGCCACCACAGTGCCACCAGTACTGTCATCTCAGCCATGGCCAAGCGCTGTCCAATGCAGTTCCTGCCACCCTATCTCCACTGTCACCACTGAGGTGTCCCAGCTGAATGTCCCCCCTCTACCAGGGCAGGATGGGAACTTGTTCAGCTGCTGACAAGTGGCCCAGAGGTGAGTGACAGCTCCCAGGGTGTCCCAAGGCCATCGTGCTAATTGGGGGAACTGGGGGTGGAACACAAGGCAGGGAATACAATGTGTAAACCAATGAAGGATTTCAAGGGAGAACAGCTTTAGTAAACTAATGGGGTTTCCAAGGATAAAAACTGACAGGGAAGTTTCTAAAGGGGACGGCAGGTTCGGGGAGGGATTGACATTTAATGGAAGGAGGAGTAAGGAAGGTTCTGGGGCAAAGGTAGGGGCAGGAGGGGTTAACAGCTGGGAAGGGGGGACGTTTGAAACTTGGCAGGGAGTAGCTGGGTAACAAACAGAACTAAACTGAATAACGGGGAGGACAGTAAAGAGGGCTTGCAAAACCACAAATTACACAGAGAACCTGCCAAATTAAGAAAACACACTACAACAGATGGACATCCTGGGGGTGTCCTCAACTCCTTAAGGGACACATCAGGATTGTCCCCAGCAGGGGATTGCGGGATCCCTGATGGATTTTTGAGATCCCTGATGAATTTTGGGGGTTTTTGGGATCCATTATGAATTTCTGGGGTCGCAGTACCGGCCAGCATGCGGAACCTGTCACGATGGATTTGGGGCCGGGGCTCTCTAATGGAGTTTTTGGGATCCCTAGTGAATTTTTGGGAACCCTGATGAATTTTCGGGGTCACTGACTGATGTTTGGGGTTGCAGTCCTGGCCACCATGAGGGACCTGCTGCAGCAGGGGCCACTGGAGGCAGCAGCCAGGGCCACCCTTGGGGACAGCCTGTGGATCCTGTGGCTCAATGTCACCAGCAACAGTTCCGTGGCTGAGAGCCTGGGGGGACTTCCAGGGGGATGCGTGGACATCATGGGTCAGGAATTTTGGGGGGTTCTGGGGTGGTTTGAAGTGGGACCCATAGCACGGGGAGTGGACCCAAAATGGAGGGGGAAGGACTCAAAATCAAAGGGTGTCATGGGATGTCGTGGCATGAGTCCACCTGTGCCAGGGCGGGTGCAGACACTCAGTGCCAGGAACAGCCATGGGAACATCCTGAGGGAGACAGGGACACCCTGCAGGACACAAAGAGACCCTGCAGGACATGACCCCAAGACCTCGGGGACTTCAGCCCCACCAGGGGTGGGGGCAGGGACATAGGGAGAGGGACAGGCACACACAGAAGGGGACAGGGACACACGGGACAGGACAGGGACACACAGAGGGGTGACAGGGAGCCATGGTGGGGGATAGGGACCTACAGAGGGGAGGGACACGATGCAACCATGACACACATCAAGGGACAATGTTGCCACACCTGTGTGGATGCTGCCACCAGGACGCCTCTGGTAACACCCAGTGCAGGGCAACGTGACCCGCCAGCTGACACTGACCTTTTCCCCTGTCCCCAGCCTGTCCCAGGGGCAGTTGAGGTCCCCTAAGTGCGATGGCCCTGGGACACCCTGGTGGCTGTCACTTGTTTCCAGGCCACTTGTCACCAGCTGAACAATGTCTCCACCCATCTGCCCTGATAGGTGGTGACATTCAGCTGGGACACCACGGTGGTGACAGCGGGGATGTGGTGGAAGGAACTGCATCAGGCAGTGCTTTGCCATGGCAAGATGAAGGCGCTGGTGGCACTGTAGTGGTGGCATTGACGCTGTCCCAGTTCATGTCCCCATGCATGTTTCCCATGTTCCCATCCATGTCTGTGTTCCGCCATGTCCCAGATGGTCCCGTCTATGTCCATGTCCCCCCATGGCCCTACACATGTCATTGTCCCCCACATGTCCCCATGCATGCCTTAGTCCAACGCCTTTATTTCTACCCCAGTTTCAGGGCTTTGAAAGGAATGAACAGAAACCTTTTTGTTTCAAGGCAGAAAAAAAAAAAAGATTTATGTATCCGTCCTGGCAGAGCATCCACGTGCTTGGGTGGGTGTGAAGAACCTTTTTTGGAGGAGTTTCCACCCAACTGTCTCCAAAACTGGAAAATTGAGGGTTTAGTCCCTCCCCATTTGGTTGTGGAAGATGTCTGTGGGCCAGAGAGAATTAAAACGATGGATTTATGTCGGAGAAGACCTCCAAGACTATCCAGTGTTGTTAAGACCACCAGAAGATGCAAAAAGTGATTTTTTTCTGGGGTCAGGAGTGGATAAACCAGCTCTACAAAATGCATTTTGGATGTTGGCCTGTGGATGTGTTCAGGTGCCCAGAGGGAGACAGGAGGATGTGGAGCGCCCCAGCCAGGTGTCTTCCCAACATGGATCACCGGCACCACGGATCACCGGGGATCACTGGGGATCATCCAGGGTGGATCTCCCGTGGGGGATGGAGCTGGAGCAGCACATGAAGCTCTTCCTGCACTCGGGAGGGCTCACAGGGCTGCCCTTAGTGGTGGCTCCGTTGATGGTGGGTCAAGGCTGAGCTGTGCCGGAATCTCTTCCCACACTCGGGACACTCATAGGGCGTCTCCCCGGTGTGGATGCGCCGGTGGCTGGTGAGGTGGGTGTTGCGCCTGAAGCCCTTCCCGCAGTCGGGGCAGCGGAAGGGCCTCTCGTCTGTGTGAATGCGCTGGTGCAGCAGGAGATGGGAGCTGGTCTTAAACGCCTTCGAGCATTGATCACACTCATAGGGCCTCTCTCTGGTGTGGCTGCGGCGGTGCCTGATGAGGGTGGAGTTATCCTTGAAGCCCTTCCTGCAGTCAGGGCAGCGGAAGGGCCTCTCCTCTGAGTGGATCGGCTGGTGCTGGAGGAGATGAGAACTGGTCTGAAACCTCTTCCTGCATTTATCACACTTGTAGGGCCTCTCCCCAGTGTGGATCCTCTGGTGGTAGTTCAGGTTGGAGCGCTTGCTGAAGTTCTTCCCACACTCTCCACACTTGTAGGGCTTCTCCCCAGTGTGGCTCCTCTGGTGGACAGTCAGGTGGGAGCTCCTCCTGAAGCTCTTCTCACACTCAGGACACTCATATGGCCGCACCTCTGTGTGGATTCTCCAATGGATGACGAGGTAGCATCTCTTACTAAAGCTCTTCCCACATTCTGAGCACTTGTGGGGCTTCTCCCCATCCTGAAGCTGCTCATCAACCCCCAGCTCCAAACTCCGGCCACCTCCCAGGCCCAGGGTGGGTCTTTCCTCCTCAGATCCCTGTGATCTGCGTTTGCAGCCCCTCCTTGTGAGGGATCTCCAAGGCTTTTCCTCCCTGTTAGATTCTTGCACTGTGGAGCCACACAAAATGGCCTCTTCCACGAGGTTCTGCTGTGGGGTTTTGTCCTCCCTGCTCTCCATGCTCAGCTCCTGGTCTGGGGGAGGAAGGACAAGGAGAGGATGGGATTTGCCTCTGTGCCACAGGGCAGGGCAAGGAGATGCCCCCAGTGTGTCCCCAGCAGGACAGCTTTGGCAGCAGGGTTGTCCTGCAGCCGGGGGCCGTGCTGGGCTGGGAGATGGAGCAGGAGAGAGGGGGAAAGGGGCACTGACTTCCTCCTCACCTGCCTGGGGCTCCCGGGCCATCTTCCTCTTCCTCACGGCCTCCTCCTTTTCCATCGGGCCAAGGTTGGGGAATGGGAAATCCTGGTTTGGGGGAAAACAAGGGCTGAACGCGTTGGGAATGATGGTCCTGCTGCCCAAGTGCAGCTGGAGAAGTCAGCGCCCCTTTCAGCCTCGGGGGGCCCGGAGCCCGCTCATGCCCAGCCTCCCCCACCCCTCCAGGCAGCCGGTTTGTCCCCCGGCTCCGGGATCGCCCCTCTGCGCTCTCCCCGCTCCGGGGCTCCCGCGTTTCCCCCCGGCTCTCCCGGGTATCCCCAAATCCGTGATCGCCCCTGTGCACGCTGGTACCGGGCGAACGTGAGAACCCCACCATGTTCCCTCCAGGGGAAATTTTCGGTTCGGATTTGGGGTACTGCAAGAGGCAAACATCCCCTGACCCACGAAAAACCCTCCCGGAGACCCTCCCGATGGATCCGGGGCGAGCTCCCGCATCCCGCTCACCCGCGGCTCCTGGAGGGGGCGATGCAGCAGGAGCCGGGGGAGCTTCGGCCTGAGCGGCGGGAAAAGGCGGCGGGGAAACCAACGTGGTTCTGCTGCTCCTCTTCCTTCCGCTCCTCCTCTTCCTCCTCTGTCCCTCTTCCACCCGCTTTTCTGTCCTTCCCAGCCCGGCCCGGGCAGTGCCGAGCCCCAGAAGCAGCCGCGCTCTGCCCCGGGCGCGTTCCGAAACAACCGCGCCACGCGCGGCACTGGGAGTGATACGGGGAGCACCGGGTACGGATCCTGAGAGCAGCGGGAAGGAACTGGGAGCGCTCTCCCTGCCAGTCCCGCTCTTACTGGGAGCACTGGGATGGAACTGGGAGCAAACAGCGCCCGGAGGCGGCTGCAGCCCGCGGTGGGCGGGCCTAAATAGAAGGGCGTGGTTATGCAAATACAGGAGCGATCGCGCACTGGGATTGGTCGGCGTGAGCAGCGCGGGCTTTCCTCGGTCAAGTGAGGGCCGGGGGGCCGGAGCGATGGCGGCGGCATCCGGTGAGAGGGGACCGGGAACGGGGACAGGGAATGGGAATGGGGACCGGGAATAGCACCAAGAATGCGGACAGGGACCAGAAATGGCACCGGGAATGGGGACAGGGGCCGAGAATGGGGGCCGGGAATCGGACCGGGGAAGGGGATAGGGACCAGGAAGGGGACCAGAGATGAGGACAGGGTCCGCAAATGGAGACAAGGACCAGGGAAGAGAATATGGGAATGGCACGTGGAACATGGAAACAGCAACCGCAGAGAGAATATGGGCTGGGGATTCGTGCTCCAAAGTGTCCAAGTGAAACCCAGCAGGGGCTGTGAGCTCTGCAGCTGGGCCTCCCCTGGGCTGCTGCGGCCCGGGGCCCAAAGGCGGGAGCTGCAGCCTCGCTCCTGGCTCAAGAACAGGAGCCTCCTCCAGGCCCATGGCCCCTGCATGGCCCCAGCATGAGGGAGGGCTCTGAGGCACAGCGGCTGCTGGCAGGAGGGGCTGCTCCGGCCAGCTGGGGGCCTCTGAGAAATGCCCAAAGCCTTGTGCTCTCTGCAGCTGGCCAAGGACAGCAGCAGGGCTGAACGGTTCGTGTGGCACAGCCAGCCCGAGCTGTGCAGCCCTCAGGGCCCCACGCGAGAGGCGGCCCTCAGGAATGGGACCAGGACAGGACCGGGAATGGGGACAGGGACTGCAAATAGGACTAGGAATATGGGATGGTTTGGGAATAGAGACAGCGACTGAGAATGGAGACAGAGACCAGAACTAGGAATGGGACTCAAAAGAAGAGGCAGGGACCAGGACTGAAAATGCGGACATGGACTGCGAATAAGCAACTGGGAATGGGACTGGAAATCCAAGACAGAGACTGGGAATGGGACCAGGAATGGGGACATGAACCAGGAATGGAACAGGGAGTACAGAGAAGGACCTGGAATGGAATCAGGGATGGGAATATTGGAATGGGACACAGAATTTGAAAACGGCAACCAGAGCGAGAATATGGGATAGGGATTAGGGAGATGGGATCAGGATTGGAAACAGGAATAGGGGAGCGAGACTGGGACTGGGAGTATGGGAACGGGACAGGGAATAGAGAAATGCGGGACTGGGAATACGGGAACAGGACAGGGAATATGGGATTAGGAATATGGGAATGGCAACCAGGTAGAGAACCTGGGTCAGGGAGTGAGACTGGGAATAGGATTCGGACTGGGATGGGAGCAGGAAGAGACAAGCGTGCTGACATGGGAATGGGTGGCGAGCCAGTGGGGTGACAGCAGGGAGTGGGGAATCCTGGACAGGGGACACCAGGAAGCGGGACAGGGGGACAGTTCCAGAGCAGGGGGTCCTTGATCAGCTGCACCAGAACCTCTGCCAGGCTCTTCCAGTGCAGCCAGAGCTGCCTGGCCTTGGGTGCCCAAAGGCCTGAGCAACCCCCAAGTTCCTCCCAGGAACCCTCAAGTCCCTTGAACCCAGCATCCCCCACATCCCCTGGATCTCCCATGGCCCAATCATTGTCTTACTTCAACGTCTTTATTTTTACCCTGGTTTTGGGTGTTTGGAAAGGACAAACAGAAATGAAAAGAAAATCCAGGCCACAGGAAGCCAGGAGGATGTGGAGCCCCCCAGCCAGGTGTCTTCCCAACACGGATCACCGGCACCATGGATCAGCACCAGGGCTCTGCCCTCCCGGGCTCACTGGGGATCATCCAGCACAGATCCTCCCGTGGGGGATGGAGCTGGAGCAGCGCAGGAAGCTCTTCCTGCACTTGAGGCACTCCCAGGGCTGCCCTTAGTGCTGGCTCCGTTGGTGTCTGGCCAAGTTACCACTCCATGAGAAGCTCTTCCCACACTCCCCACACACATAGGGCCGTTCCCCCGTGTGGTTCCTCTGGTGGGCAATCAGGTAGGAGCTCTGGCTGAATCCCTTCCCACACTTGGGACACTCGTAAGGCCTCTCCCCAGTGTGGATGAGCTGGTGGATGACAAGTTCAGATTTGCCCCTAAAGCCCTTCCCGCAGTCAGGGCAGAGGAAGGGCCTCTACTCTGTGTGAATGCACTGGTGCCTGAGCAGATGGGAGCTAGTGTGAAACCTCTTCCTGCACTGATCACACTCATAGCACCTCTCCCCGGTGTGGATCCTCTGGTGGACAATCAGGTTGGATTTGTGGCTGAAGCTCTTCCCACACTGCCCACACTCATATGGCTGTTCTTCAGTGTGGATTATTGAATGGAAGATCAGTCGGCATCTCCATCTGAAGATCTTCCCACATGCTGAGCACTTGTGGGGCTTCTTCCCATCCTGAAGCTGCTCATGGACCCCCAGCTCCGAGCTCCGGCCGCCTCCCCAGTCCAGGGTGGGTCTTTCCTCCTCAAATCCCTGTGATCTGCGTTTGCAGCCCCTCCTTGTGAGGGAACTCTGGGGCTTTTCCTCCCCGTTGGATTCCTGCACTGTAGAGCTGCTCAAAACAGCCTCTTCCATGAGGAAGGAGACCAGGGATTTGTCCTCCCTGCTCTCCATGCTCAGCTCCTGGTCTGGGGGAGGAAGGACAAGGAGAGGATGGGATTTGCCTCCATGCCACAGGGCAGGGCAAGGAGATGCCCCCAGTGCGTCCCCAGCAGGACAGCTTTGGCAGCAGGGTTGTCCTGCAGCCAGGGGCCGTGCTGGGCTGGGAGATGGAGCAGGAGAGAGGGGGAAAGGGGCACTGACTTCCTCCTCCCCTACCTGGGCCTCCCGGGCCATCTTCCTCTTCCTCGCAGCCTCCGCTTTCCCCATCAGGCCAAGGTTTGGGAATGGGAAATCCTGGTTTGGGGGAAAATAAGCTGTGAGAGTGTGGGATTCCTCTTGCCCAAGCCCATCTCTAGAAGTTACTGAACATTTTGTGTCCATAGAAACCTTCAGACCACCAAGATTTGTCTGAAAGACCTCTTACAAATACCAAAATTGAGCCCCCCAAGACTTGAAAGGCTCATGATCATCCCACAAAAACCTTTTCAGGAGTCCATCCTCTCTGGTCTCTCCCCTTTGGACTTCTGGGGATCCTGCATGTATTGAGGGTTCTCCTCTCCAGGATCCCAACCCTCTCCAGGCTGTCACAGGAATCCCCAGGGTCCCCCCTCTCTGCTTTTCTGACCTTGGGCCTCTGGGGCTCCCCCTTCTCTGTGCTGCTGGGGCTTCCCCGCAGCCCCCGGGGGTTCCCCGGCTCCCCCTCTCTGGGCTCCCCCTTAGCAATTCCGGGGCTCTTGGGGTCCCAGCGCTCCCGTTTCCCCTGACTCTGCTCCAGGCTGTGGGGAGCTCCAGGGCTTCCCCCTCGCCAGGGTGTTCCCCTCTCCGGGCTGAATCCTGGCAGTCTCCTCTCTCTGGGCTGCACACTTCGGTGTCCCAGTGTTCTCCCCTCTCCTGCCCTCCCCTGTGAAAAAACAACCTCCCAGGACACCCCCAAAATCTCCCCAGTGGGCATTTGCGGCTTCACTTTGGAGTCCTTTGAGCTCCAAAAATCTCCCCCTCCCCAAAAAAGTACCCTCCCATGGAGCGCCCAGGATATTTGGGTGAGCTCCCCCTCTGCGGTCACCTGAGATATGGGGGGGAAATGCCCCAGGGGCCGGGAGGGCTGCGGACACACCGAGGGCAGGAGCATGTGGTCCCTCCAGTGCCACTTCCCGCTCCTCCTCCTCTCTCCCAGCTCTTCCTCCCACTCCTCCTCCACGCCTCCTCCTCATCCTCCTTCTCCTGTTCCCTCCAGCCCTTGTCCCGCTGTTTCTCCCTCCCTGCTCCACCATCCCATTCCTCCTGCCCCGGTCCCGCAGCCCTCGCAGCCCGCGGCAGGAGCGGGGATGGAGCCGGGACAGGTCGGGATGGGCAGCGCGGGGCTCTCGGCTGCTCCCACCCGCTGGGGCCGGGGGAAACCCGGCCCGGGGAGAAGGAGAGGCAAACTGGGAAACCTGGGGGCTGCAGATCCACACTGGGGCTTGCTGGGGACCCTGGCTGGGGGCTGCCAGCCCCTGGGGCTCCTATCAGGTGATCCGGGAGGGGGGAACACAGAGAGGGCTGGGGGATGCCAGGAGTGGCATCTCTGGGATGGACTGGGCTGTACTGGGATCATACTGGGAGGGAGTAGGAGGCTGCAGGGGCAATTGAGGACGTGTTGGGGGCAAATGGGATATACTGGGAATGACTGGGATGATTCTGAGAATGACTGGGAGCAGCTGTGAGCAACTGGGATCATACTGGGAGAAACTGGGAGCAACTGGGAGTGACTGGCTGCATGCTGGGGGTGATTGGAAGCAACTGGGCTTATACTGGGATTAACTGACATCATACTGGAGGTGACGGGGATCATACTGGCAGTGAGTGTGACTACACTGAGGCTGATTGGGAGAGGTTGGGAGGAAATGGGATCATACTGGAAGGAACTGGGAGTGACTGGGAATAGGCTGGAAGGAACTGGGGTACACTGAGAGAGACTGGGAGTGACTGGAATGAAAGTGAGGGTGAAACAGAGCAACTGGAACCATGTGGGGCCCAACTGGTTCCTACTGGCAGTGACTGGGAGAACACTGGGGTCATACTTGGATCATACTGGGAGTGACTGGACTAATACTGGGAGTACCTGAGAGTGACTGGGAATACACCATGCACATCATCCCCCATACTGGGGGTGACTGGGAGCACCCTGGGAGCAGATGGCATTATACTGGGACTGACTGGGTTACCCTAGCTGGGGGCAGATGGGACCATAGTGGGAGAGATTGGAAGCAACTGGGATTATTCTGGGACCACACTGGGAGTGCTGGTGCATGACTAGGATCATACTGGAGCTTACTGGGATCATATTGGGGTTGAAAGGGAGTGACTGAGATCACACTTTGGGCTCTTGGGAGCAACAGAGAGAAACTGGGATCATGCTGCAAGCAAATTGGAGTAACTGGAAAGGACTGGATGCATGCTGGAGGTAACTGGGATGTTGTGGGCATGACTGGGATCATACTGGGATAGCTAACAGCTTCCTGGGGCCACTGGGAGTGTTTGGGAATGACTATGGCTATGCTGAGGGCAACTGGCATATACTGGGAGTGTCTGTAAGCATACTGGGGTGACTGGAAGCACACTGGGCACAGCTGGGCCCATGCTGGGTGAGACTGGGATCCCACTGAGGGTGACTGGAATCCTACTGGGATTGACTGGGAGTGGCTGGGAGCAAGTGGAATCATGCTGAAAGCAACTGGAAGGAAGTGGGAGTGACTGGGAGCATGCTGGGGGTGACTGGGATCTACTGGGAGAGACAGGGGATCGTACTGGAGGCTACTGGGGTCATGCTGGCATTGACAGGGAGCACCTGGGATCACACTGGGGGCCACTGGCATCATAATGGGAGTGACTGGGATTAGACTGCAAGTGACTGGGATCCTACTGGGAGTGGCTACAACCATACTGGGACTATAGTGGGTGTCAATGGACCCTGACTGGGGGTTACTGGGAGCTACCAGCATAGGCTGGGAGCCAGCTGTGCACACACTGGGAGGAAGTGGGAATGATAGGATGCATGCTGGTGACAGCTGGGATATACTGGGAGTGACTGGGGTCACCTGAACCACGCTGAGGTAACTGGGAGTGCCTGGGAATGACTACGAGTTCATGGCAACTGGGATATGCTGGGAGTGTCTGTAGGCATACTGGGGTGACTGGGAACACACTGGGGGAGACTGGGATTCACTGGGATTTGCAGAGCCTCCACTGGGGACAACTGGAAGTGATCCCCCCGTTCCCCCCAGCCCTCCCTCGGGCACTGTCCCATCTCCCACCCTGCGCCGCTGGGATCTGCCCGGAGCAGCTCGATGGCTCCAGGGCTGGGGCTGGGGGCGCTCCTGGGGGTCAGGGGGGAGTGGGACCCCAGCACCGGGACCCTGAACCGCCATTCCCAGCACAGGGACCCCTCTGTTCCCCTTTTCCTGCACAGGGACCCCCCTGGATCCCCCATTTATGGACATCAGGACTCCCTGGTCGCCTTTTCCCAACCATCCCATGGCTCCCAGACTCCAGACTTCCCTGGGACACTCTGGAATACCTTGGACCCCCATTCCTGCCTTTCTCAGCCCCCAGCCCCAACTTTCTGCAAAACCAGAGGCCCCCTGAACTCCCCATTCCTAAACATCCCCGGTGTCCCCACCCCGTTACCCCCCTTTTCTGGGAAAGCCTGGACTCCCTTTTTCTGGGCTCAAGGACCCCCTGGAACTCCTTTCTATCTCTCCAGGTCGCTGCCCTCCCATTTCCTTGACCCTGAGACCCCTCTGCCCCCCCATTCCTGAGAATGGAGTCACCCTTTTACTCCTTTGCCCGGCACTGAGATCCCCCCTGCACCCCCTTATCCAGCACCAACACAAACTTTTCCTGCCCCCCCCCGCCTCTTCAGCCCCCAGCCCCACCCTTTCCCTGGCCCTGGGACCTCTGGGCTGCCATTCCTGCCTTTCCCAGCCCCAGCCCCTCCTTTCCTCACACAGAGGAGCCCTGGCACCCCCTTTCCTGGGCACAGGACAGACCATCCCACCTCTCCCAATCCTTGCCCCACCTTTCCTTGACTCTGAGCCCCTGAACCTCCTTCCCAGCTCTCCCACCTTTCCTTGACCAGTTGAGTCCCCTGCATCCCGAATGTCTCACTTTCACCCACCCCAGCTCCCCCAAATCTCCGTGTCCCCCCAGTTCTGCACTCCCTGCAGTGCCTGGAAGTGGCGCTGTCGGAGCCTGGCCCGGGGGTCCCCCAGTCCTTGATTGTGGGGGACGTGGACGGGACCCCCTGGGAGCGCTGGGGCAGCGAGCGGGGCCGGATGGAGCCGCAGAGAGCGGGGATGGGGGCAAGAGCTGAGCTGGGATACTGGGATAGCCAGAGCCGGGACAGTGGGATAGCCTGGGCTGGGATATTGGGATAGCCAGAGCCGGGATAGTGGGATAGCCTGGGCTGTGATATTGGGATAGGCAGGGCTGGGATATTGGGACAGCCAGGGCTGGGATATTGGAATATCCAGGGCTGGGATATTGGGATAGCCAGAGCTGGGATATTGGAATATCCAGAGCTGGGATATTGGGATAGCCAGAGCTGTCTCAAGGACAGGAACCAGCACGTGGCCAACAGTGCTCTAGAGACAGGGCCGGTACAACCAGAATAGGGGGAGTTGGGGGAGCTGGGGGCTGGGCTGGGATCTGTGGGGCTGGGGGAATCTCTGGGAATGGGATGGGACCTGTGGGACTGGTATGGTAATCCAGGGAGCTCCATGGGGCTCTGTGGGGCTGGGACACGACTCCATGGGTCCGTTCTCTCCTCGTTCCCAGGTCTCCACACAGTGCAGGTGGTTTCCAGCTGTGACCTCCTGTCCAATGGAGCATCCATGGATCCCACTGGTATGGCCATAAGGGGTGGGATTTCATCTCCTTCCAGCTGGGACCCGGGAGCTTTGCAGTGTCTGACAGTGCCACCTGCATCACCCAGAGGTGCTGGGAATCCAAAGGGATCATGGTGCAGTGAATGAAGCATTACCTGGGATACACCTGTGGGGAAGAGCTCCCAAATGGAGCTCTATGGTTGGAGCTCTGGAGCACAAAGGTGGGTGTGGGAGGGGAATTCCTAAGGGAGTGTGGGATTCAGGAATGGGAGACTTGGAATGCAGGAATTCCCATGGAATTTCCATGGCCGAATCTCACTCTCATCTCACTCAGGTGAGAATTGCATGGATGGATCCCTCCTAACTCAGTGCCACTCTGTAGAGAATTCCATGGGGAAATGATTTGAATTGATGACCAATCCAATGAGAGCAGTGAAATGAGACCTAATCCCTGCTGGGATTCCATGGGACATCAATCCCAATCCTTTGCCTAGGCCAGCTCTGCTGTGCCCGTGGGAGCACCAGGGGAGTGCCCTGTCCCTGCCCTGAGCCCAGCACGAGCCTTTCCTTGGCTGTTCTGTGCCCTGCCCGGGGCAGGAGGGCATGGCTGGAGTGGCTTTGGTGGCCCTGGGCACCCGGCCGGGCTGCAGCCACTGCAGGGGCTCCTGGGGAATGTTCCAGAGCAAGGCTTAAAGCAAACAACAGTTCCTGGAGGGGATTCTGCCCCTTGGCCTGTGCTGGGAGCCCAAGGGCAACAGCCCAAAGTGCTGGAGCTCAGTGTCCCTCGGCCAGGCCGTGTTCCCTGGCTGTGCCCTGTCCCTCAGCTCTGTAGGACCTGGGGCAACCCTCGGGAGAAAATCCTGAGCCCCAGCTGGGCCAGTTGTCCCCAGGTCACTCTCAGTCACCCCAGTGTGATCCCAGCATGGTCCCTGGGTTTTCCATTCACCCCTGGTATAGTTCCAGCCACTCCCAGCATGGTCCCAGTCACTCCCAGATACTGACAGTATTACTCCAGTAACTTCCTTTATGGTTCCTGTGATCCCAGTCACTCCCCATCACTCCCAGTATATCCCAGTTCCCCCAGTGTGTCTCCACTCACTCCCAGTAGCTTCCAGCATGATTCCCTGGGTTTTCCATTCACCCCTGGTATAGTTCCAGCCACTCCCAGCATGGTCCCAGTCACTCCCAGATACTCACAGTATTACTCCAGTAACTTCCTTTATGGTTCCTGTGATCCCAGTCACTCCCCATCACTCCCAGTATATCCCAGTTCCCCCAGTGTGTCTCCACTCACTCCCAGTAGCTTCCAGCATGATTCCAGTTGCTCACAGTCACCCCAGTCACCTCCAGCATGATTCCTGTCACTCCCTGTATGTCCCAGTTGCCCCAATATGGTCCCAGTTGCCCTCAGCCTGCTCCTAGTCATACTTCCAGTATGATCCCACTATGACCTCAGTTGCCACCAGCACAGACCCAGTCATTCCAAGGATGATCCCAGTGGGATCCCAATCTCCCTGAGCATGGTCCCAGTCAATCCCAGTTGCTCCCAGTGTAGATCCGGTCGCTGCCAGTCGCTCTCAGTGGGTTCCCAGTCACCCTAAGTCTGGTTACAGACACTCCCAGTATATCCCAGTTGCCCTCAGCATACTCATAGTCACAGCCACATGTCCCAGTAAGGTTCCAGTTTCCACCAGTATGATCCCAGTCAGTACCAGTCAATGCCAGTTGGTCCCACTATGATCCCTGTTGCCCAAGCTCTGGTCCTGCTGGTTCCCAGTGTGCCCTGATCCTGCTCCCAGTGGGTCCCAGTCCTGGTGTATCCCAGTGTATCCCGTTGTATCCCGGTGTATCCCGGTGTACCCCAGCGTATCCCAGCCTGTCCCAGTCCATGCCAGTCCCTTCCCAGCAGCCACCGCCGTTTCCTGGATCCTGCCCCTCCCGGCCCTGGAGCTGCCGCTGGACGCCCCCCAAGTGTCGCTGCTGAGTAAGGAAGCAGCACAGACTCACAAGAAGGCTGCTTTGCACAGCAGTAGTTTTAATATGAAAATTCTTTTTTATAGACTGTGCCCATACATTCAGACCAGATTGGTCAATCAATCAATACATTTCACCTGACTGGCTAATTAACAAAAACACCTTTCTTAGAAACAATCCTTGAGAAAAACAGGAAAACAGAGAGTAGGAAAACACCACCTGCAGGTTGTTTATAATAACAAGCTATCATCGTGTCTCTACAACTCCCTAAAAGTCTCACAAGTCAGCTGTGAGAAAACTTACCTGGTTTTCTCGCTCTCTGACAAGCCTGTCACACCCACACCCAAGGTGCTGCCAGGGCTCGGGGGCTTCGTGTTGGGCTTTGTCTGCCTTGGCTGGGGCTCGGCCTCCACTACGGGAGAAGGTGAGGGGGGGTCTCCTGGGGGTCCTGTCCCCCTGGGAGTGCTTGTGACTCCCCCATGTGCCCCCATGCTGGGGACACCCCCTTTGCTCTCGCCAGAGTCCTGACCCAGCTCCTGCTCCCCCCTGGGGGGGGCTTTGGGGAGCCCCCCTGGGACCTCCTTGAATCCCCATTCCTGGGCACTGGGACGCCCCCACATCTCCCTGCCCAGCTGCGGGATCCCCTGCACCCCCTTATCCTGCACCGACACCTCCTGCACCCCCTTTCCCAGCTCTCCTCCTCTGGCAGCCCCTGGATCCCCCGTTTCCGTGAGCCCGGGGACCCCCGGAGCCCCATTCCCGGCCAGCCCGGGGCACCTCAGCCCCAGGCCTCCCTTTGCTGGGAAACCCGGCCTGGGCACGGGGCTCTGCAGCTGCTCTGGGGTTTATGATCACCTGGAGGAAAGGGAGAGAACAGAGGAGAGAGAGAAGGAGACTGTGGATCAGGGATCGGGGTCCCAGCGCCCAGTCCTGCTCCGCCAGCGGGCTCCAGGCAGAGTTTGAGCGCAGATCCAGCGAGTTCAGCACGGCCGAGGAGGGTCCCGGGAGATGCCAGGGGGGATCCCGGGGAATTCCCTGGAATTCCCCCGTCCCCTCCCCCTGCGTTCCCTCGGGCACCTTCGGTTCCGCGTTCCCCGCTCTGCGCCGCCGCGATCTGCCCGGAGACCGGTGACGTCACAGAATCCTCGGCATACCATTGGCGGGCAGGAAAGAGCAGCGTTACTGGCGGCTCTGGGGGCGGGGCCGTAGCGGAGCAGCGGATTGGCTCCAGCGCTGGGGCTGGGGGCGCTCCTGGGGGAACTTGGGGGGGAGCGGTGAGGGGGACCCTCGACAGCCGGAATCCCCCGAACCGCAATTTCCGGGCACTGGGAACCCCCTGAACTTCCATTTCCGGGCACTAGAACAGCATCCAGCCCCATTCCTGCATACTGTGACCTCCCTGAATCCCCTTCCCCAGCACCAGGACCCCTATGTTCCTTATATGACCCCAGGACCACCGTAAACCCCCCTGAACCACCATTCCTGGCTACTCACTGCACCCCCCTTCCCAGTGCAAGGACCCTCTGTTACTTCTTATCAGGCACAAGTACATGCCTGAATCCCCGTTTCTGGGCATCAGCACCTCTCTGAACCTCTATTTGCAGGCACCAGGACCCCCCGAACCCCCGTTTCCAGGAAGGGGATTTCTCTGAAGCCACATTTCCCATACAGGAAACCCCCTGATTCACTATTTCTGTGCCACAGGACACCCCTGGAACTCAATTTCCAGGCCGGGGATCCCCCCATCCCCTCTGTTCCCTGTGAAATACAAAGCTGTGTTTCGTGTCAGGTACAAACAGGCGACGTGTGTACTTGCAAATGCGAAATGTGTGGACATCAACAATGGGATAGTTGCGAATTCTAATAATAACTGATGAAAATAAAGCATGGAAAAAGGCCTTTGAACCTATCTTTTGTTTGCAATTAACCCTGGTTGATTTAGGAGCATTAGAATTAAGGTGTTAAGGATGTTGCTTTTTGCTTGCAGTTAATCCATAAAAAAGCTCTGCAATAATAACCTTTTGAAGTATAATTTTAGAATATTACTTGTATCCTTGAAACTATAGCTTTAGAATATATATATAGGAAATATGCTTATCTCACGCCTTATTGAAGCAGAGAAAAACAGTTTGAGAAAGGAAGATGAACACCACCTCAAGGATTTATGGTTTCGACCAAAGGGAAGCTGGACATCACTGTTGTTAGATTGATAGTCTCTGCAATTAAAAAGTGGACCCACATCTGGGGAACTGGACTCCACCAGGTGGGATTCGTCTTTCTTCTTTCGGAAACTGGACGATCACCACCTGGGGATCCTCCTTTTGAGATACATCCTGAGAAACTAAGATCACAATAGTGTATAGAATTGTGATGTAATAATTTGGAATAAAAATTGCTGATGAGAAAAAATTGGAAATAGGAACTGTTGAAAAAAGCTGATGAGTACCCCTATAAATACCTGTAAGCCTCAACTATCAGTGTGCAGTTGGAGGGAAAACTTCCCCCACTGTACCCAGCGCTGTATTGCTCATACTTTACCATATT